TCAGTGTTTAACATGTGATGCTTGCTATATTGGAGAAACTGGGAGACAGTTATGCGTTCGTGTGAAAGAACATTTAGCAAGAAAACGAAGGTCTTGCTCGATTGCACCGCTTGGGAAGCACAGAGGAGAAGGTCATGCTGGTTGTGACTTTGACGGTAAATGCACGATTTCGGCCTACGAGGACAGTATTGGTGCCAGAAAAACTCTCGAGGCTTTCTGGATAAAACACCGAAGGCCGAGCATGAATAACAAGAATGAGTGCATCAACATAACTGGTGACCTCTTGCCTTACATCCTTCCGTGTGAGCTCTGATAGAGAGACTCATACGTGTCACGTCACGATCTATTAAAGGGTCGTGGTTGACGGGCTGTCTCAATTGCTCTACTGTTTCTGAACTTGAGCAACTGTTCGGTGTTGGTGGAATTGACGTAAGTGGCTTGTTGGAGTTTCTCCTTGGTTGTTAGTTCATCGGTCTGAGTTGCAACTAGTTAAGAGGTGATCTACGTCAAGCGTGACAGGTAACACTCTAAAGTTACGATACGCTTTCAGGCCTTTGATAAAGACGAGATTGACGAAACGTCAGGCGAATAAAAGTATTCCACCATTAAAAAACCTGTATGGCACAGAAGCATTGACGAATAATAGTACAGATGCCCAGGTTTAAAGAAAGGCAAACATGGAAGTTACTTAGCAAAGACATGTTCAAGTAATTACTCTGGAACTTATCCACCATCCAGGTCAAGCACTGTTTCCCTTTTGCTAGGCAGTCGAATTCCACAGATGAGGAAGTGTCGATTCTTGGAAGCGAACCACCCTTGACATCGTCCACAAGTCATCCATTTCGTCGAAGGTTCTATTTGCTAGCCAATTTTTCAATAGAAAATCGAGGTTATTATCCATAGGAGTTTCTGTTGTAATACGGTGAACGTAGAAGCAGATTCCATTCCTTGTTTGGCTTTGGCTCACTGTTCCATCTCCGGGAAGTTCGTTGAGGTCACTTTATGACTATGCCACCTTCAAATCTCCTCGAAGCAATGGAGCATAATTTGGCGTATATGAAGATGACTTTCCAGACATAATTCTGTTAAGAAAAGCAAAAAGATTATTCCTGTTAACTCCTAAATTCAATATTCAAATTGTATCGAGAGAAAAGAACCTGTGAAAAAAAAAACCGCAATAATTATGCATCAACCTATTAGTTGGGTGAGTTGGTTGTGGTGTTGCTCCTTCGACTCAGACCCTTGAATGTCACATTTACCCAAATGTTTCCTCCGAAATAGACGATCCCAGTCTAAAATCCATTTATATTATGGATCAGAACCATAGGTTCTTCTTTCCATAAACAACATTTCCTTACCCATTGATGCGCCGGGTGATTTTTTTGGAAGGTCTTTGAAGGGTAATTCATAAAGACCCCATGTTACATAAAATAAAAGAAAAAGTTCAAATGATTGTCCTTGACTCCTTCTAGATGTACACACAGACGACTGAATAGATCGTAGATATTTATGCCGCTAGAAACGCTCTTGTCATCTTTGACAAGGGGAAACTGTGGCAAAAACCTGACTCATGACGCAAGGCTTGTCTCATGCCTCACTATTTGACCTATGAAGTCACCCATGTTATGAAAACAAAACGGGTGTAAATGGCCTGGTAGTTAAATGAATAGGTCAGGAGCGAATTCGTCGTACAGCTCCAGCATACCTGTCAGGTCGGCTAGTAGGAGCCCTGTATCAATAGAGGTTGTTATATAGGAGTTGATCAATCTGATCAATCAGATAAGAAACCCTAAACATAACCAATACTATTGTTAATGGTATATCTCATTTAGGTATGTACGGTCTTTCTTTTGTATTTCTTTTTGCCCGAAACAAGAGGAAAAACAGCGGTTGAAGTTCGAGAGTCTTGGAAAAGCCTGCCAGCACCATGCGGGAAACAACGGCAGGACTCTGCTTCAACGGCAGCGTCCGAGGCGTGAATCTAACTCATTCGATGTTCACTCCGTCGATTTTTTCTTTCTTGCACTGTTTTTCAATGTTTTTATGATAGTTGTATTTTATAGTACATTCTATTGCCACGCGTGGATTCTAAAATCCGTTTCATTTGTAACGGGTAATTGTAAAATATCCATAGTGTTCATTGAATATTATTAAGACGTTTGACATGAAATAATTATTTCAGATTCTGTGGCCATTGTAGCAGTGCTACCAGGAAATCAGAGAACTTATAGATACTGCCATGATGGCGATAATATGTGGTAGAGTTAAGAGGCTCCACAAAATTTTGAAAGACATGTGTTTAAATTAAAGGAGATGGGGAAGGTCAATCCCTATGAACCATTCCCAATGTTATGGCTCCAGTTGCCTGATGCACCCATTCAATCATTTGCGAATTTCGCTGGTATGGTTTCACTCTGTTGAGCAAACCAGTGTTCCTCCATCTTAGGCTTTGACCTGATTGATTTCCATGGTATTGTTCTCTGGGCATTTTCTTGAATACACTGACTAATCTGAACTTGTGAAACTGTGAACTTGTGAATTTGGTTGAATTGTTTCACGTGAAGATTGTGCTAGCTTGTGAGCTCTGCGATTATCTCAATGAAAAGGAAAAGAAGCAGACCTATTGATAAGAAGGCTGTCATGATCGTCACTCTTAGAAAGGCGCACAAACGGGCATACAAACGGACGCACAAAGTTACCGCCTTACCTATAGAGAGATATGTATATGTATCGTAAGAGAGGCGTTCGAACTTTTGAAAAATTCTCGAAACAGGCATTCGAGAAAATCATTTTCAGAAATCGTAGTTACTCTCCTGACGACTCATTGGATACATTTGGATTCTTTGACTGAGTCGATGTGTAATGATGGTCAACCTGAAGCTCCTGGCCAACCTGGAGCGCCTGGAACTAAAGGATCAGGATTGCCCGGACCTCTCGATCCACCAGGGTCAGTGGGATCGCCTGGACAACAAGGTCAAGACGGGAATGCTGCTGGAACAGGCCTTCCATGACCACCTGGACCACCTAGCCCGAACGGAAATCCAGGGCAGCCAGGATCTGCTGGAGCACCAGGTGCTCCTGGTGAGGAAGTCCCACCTGGTGAAGATGCAGATTTCTGCCCGTGCCCTGCTATGGAGGCGTCACTGGCGAAGGAAGCAACCGCAGCAATGGGGAGGGCAGCACTGGACCTTCAAAATATGCGAGTTGGAGGGCTTTGGCTAGTGAGCCAATGGAAGTCTTAACCAGTGACGTGTAATTTTTATTGCAACGTGTTAGTATAAGGATCGACCATAATATAACATTCACGGGGTTTATATACACAACATGTGGGCGGTCCTCAGATACCGTATCACCACTGGACCTTAGGGGGCCCGTGGCGGTACTCAAGAAGGGGGGATGAAAGAGCGGACCGCGCCAACGGCAGAACTTAAGCTACCTACTTGATTGCACACTTATGATACCGCCAGGTCATGCCTGTGGTCTCAACTCAAGAGATACTCATGTCAAGTTATGCCACTGATTAATATGTTGAACTAATAGTTCTATTATAAACATAGATATGGTTGTGAATCCACAACAAGGGCCATCGTCGTTTCGTCGTCAAAAAACGTGCTGTGATGAGAAAGGCCGAGAAGTGAGCATAATTTCGTTCTTATTTTTGTCGTTTGTGGAGGTCATTTTAAAGAGAATTTCCAGTTATTTAAATCGCTCAAAACAAAAAAAAGGAGGAAAAATGAAAAATAAATGCGTGTGCTAGAATTACGTCTCGACACTCCGAAGAAGAATCGTTAATATTGTTCAGCTGCAGTGAAGTCTTCATGCTGACACTCGCATTCAGTAAAATAACTTGTGAGAATGAGTTCAAAATATGAAAACTATAGAAAATTGTCTGCGCCCATTTCTTCGATAAAACGAAGTTGATTACTTTTCCAAACTGCAACACCCATTTCGTATAAAGGTTCCACGTGTGGATGAGCTCCAACAGACGTGGCTCCACAGAAGTGGATAACATGCAGTCCACACTAAAACATTATCAGGAACTTGTGGGGATATTGCCTTGCCGAATGATGGTCAGCAAAATTGTGGCCCTGCTAATTACTATAATAACTATTGATATCAGTTTTTTTTATGGTGTACTCGGAGAGTGTCCTATCAAATGGATGCAGTGTTGCAAGTTACAGTACCATGTGAAGCCATGAGGAAGCCTTGGACAGCTTGCATAAATAAGTTGCGAGTAAATGTTGTTTTGATGGTCGTGGTTGCGGCAGACGACGATTTATGATAGATGGAATTCTAAAGATTCAAGGAGTGTCCCGTAAATTTGCTGTACTTCACATGGTATCTTTCAGTAGCCATGCCCAGCATAACTATGATAACTGTAGTAGTGGTAGCAAGGAATCTTTCGGACAAAAAATCTTTCAAGAAGGAAAATCGGATTAGAACAAACGATCTAGGGAGCTTCAAAGCTCATCTGATGTAGATAAACATTGATAGGAGGCCAGGCAAAGTCAACATTCTGTATTTTACTGTACGCGTGTATAATACGAAAGAAGGTTATCGGAAGGTTTTCGAAAGTCGATATTCCAGGTTACTTTAAAGGCACAGATGACGATAATTTACAGGGCAGCTTTCTAAGGAGAAAGAGGTAGTTTCGGTGGAGAATAGTGCCCGAGGGCGAGGAAAGCGAGAAAATCCGTGGAAAGGAGGCTCCCTAAAAGTGGTGAATAGAAGTTGTACGAGAATGCAATGGCGAGAGTGGTATGTAAGAGGTATCTGAGAAAGATTTCAGGCGTTGCAATTTCTTAAAAAGCTGACTATTGGAGCCAAGAATGTCCAAAACTGCTCCTACCAGCCGCTACTATCTTTGAGCAATTAGTGACCGTTTTCGATCTGAAAATGCCACATGTGTATATGGTCCATGCGGAGGCCCGTATTCATCATAATAGGATATCACAGAACTGTTTTTATCATGAACTGTGTCATTAAGTCAGCTTTTATTACTCAAAAAAAAAAACAGGCGAATGCTAAGGGCAACAGATTTGAACAATATTTGAGGTGCCGGGCAATGCTCGCTGACTGAGCAGCACTGAGCATCGCTCGAAATTATTCTCCTCTACATCTCTTCTAGTTAGCATTTAAGCATCTTTAGCAAGGCGGTTCTCTCGAGGTGGAACTAGGAGGGGAAAACCTAGCTCTAATAAAATTTTTAGAAAGGTCAATGATCTCTGCCCAGATGTGAATTGAACCTCGTCTCCTTGATCTAACGTTGAGTTGGCGAAAAGAGCTGAAACTCCATAAATCCGACGTCAGAGCAATGTTGAAAGCATTTACAGTCGACGAAAAAAGCAGAGATTCGTCGCCGGACACTTTATAATGAAAAGGGGAAGGATGCAAGGATCTCTCTTCGCTAGATGAAACATGTCCTTAGGGTCATCGCACACTAAAGAGTTGAGATCAGCGCAATATGAACCGTCGTTCTCATGAACCGGTCGTCTGTTAGGGTGTAATATTGCTACAAATCGTGGTCAGAAGCTAATCTCTGTTCCTTCGCCATAACTTGCTAAAGCGCTCCAACTATTGGGTTGTAACATAAGTTCGTAGAGTTTTTTCACAGGGATTTATTTTACCAAAAAACAATAATTATAATAATAAATTAATCAGTGATGTATCTTCCTGTTACTGTTTGCGACCTCCTCCAATCTCTCGACCAATTTGTTGATGCCGTTTCGCCAAAAATCGGCTGGTCTGGTGTCAAAGAAGCTGTTGAGCCAGTTTCCAAGAACCTCTTCGCCATCGAAGGTAACACTCCGCATTTGGTTTGACAAAGAGCGGAAAGGTGGTAGTCGGTAGGTGCAAGACCCGAAGAGTAGGTGGATGCTGAAGAACCTCTTATTCAAGCTTTTGGAGTGCTGTTTTGACGACTTGGNACCTCTTTTGAGTGAAGGTCTTGCTTGACTCTCGGCTTCGGTGCCTCTCCTGGGGCCACCCAGAGACACACCTAGGACACCGTCCTCGTCCACACTGCATATGTCCCGAGCGGCTTCAGCTGCTTATTGACATCGATGAAAAGCAGATGTCGAAAATGCTGATTTTCTCCTCCTGGATATTCCAATTCTGAGCCAGAAAAAAGGCGACAACTAGATTATCCAAAAAAAACGAATGAAACTATTTTATAGAGGAGAAAGAGCTCTTTCGAATGAATATATACACTTCGCCAAAAAACAAAGCGATTCGTTGTAAAATGACCCTGACACAAAACTCTACGAACTTATGTTACAACCCAATAGTTTGGAAACAAGATCAGCGGAAAGCTCTAAGGGTTGAAGGTAAATAATAAATTCAATTTTCTTCAGTTTTTTATCTTCACTTCTGAGAAAATCAAGGGCTTAGACTTCAAAAGAAACGATAGCACATGACTAATGATCAATTTGCTGCGCAAATCTCGATAGTCGATATTTAGTCTTCTTAGAAATGTAAGCAAAATAGGAGGAATCTGAAACCTATTAGTTTCTGGAGTTCATATAAGCAGAGCTTCCCACTGTTCTTATTTTCAACCTAACTGGAACACTTTAACAAAGGTCATGGCGAAGCGACAGTTTGCATTGCATTGTAAGACGTGGCCGTTGTTGCATGGACTTCTGATATGGTTTCCTCCGAGGTTTCGAAAAGAATCCCGCAGGTACTCCATATTACACAAGTTTTAGGATCTCTGGAACTTCCTAAGGAGTTAAGATGAAATGAGAAAGTAAAATTTTCTGATCATTAAGAATTCCATGAAGGTAATTACATCAAGAAATATTTTAGCGTGGAATACTACATCACTGTTCAGTAGCATCCTTCATTGACCATTCAGTCTCATGCTCATAACGCTGTATGGTTTCGGTGATTATTATGCTTTTTGAATTTGCCGTCCTTTTAACCTTTGTATTTAGTTTGAGTTCCTGTTTATCTAATTATTAGGTTGATGCATAAATATTGCGGATTTTTTTCAGCAAGGTTTATTTGAAGAAACGATAGAAATATCTAGCGAAGACATGTTCAAATAATTGCTCCAGAACATATCCACCATCTTCGTCAAGCACTACTTCCCATTTGCCACGCGGTCGGATTCCACAGGCGAAAAAAATTCGAATTTTAGACGATCGCGCCTTGACGTTGGCCATCAGGCCATCCACATCGTCGAAAGTTCTGTTCGTTAAAGGCACTGTTCACAAAAAAGTGGTTCGGAGATTTGCGCATGGTTTGAATTCGAAGCCCCCTCTGGTAGCATTCGTACAGGAA